AATTAAAAAAAAAATTAAATAAAGAATTTTTATATATATATATATATATATATATAATTCTGGGGTAGGGATTGTGCACAATAATGTGGTGTGCCAACATAGTTCTGTTTTCCTTACTGCTGCTCACTGGAGATCTCCTGGTTCTCCTCTGCCTTCTCATATTCAGCCAATATCAACAGGTCTTCCTTGCATGCGGTTAATAGCTGCGCTTCAATGTCTTTAGCTCTGACAAGGAACAAACAACAGTAAGTCCTCATGCGCACAGACAATAGTTAAAATCAAAGGAAAAGACATACGTTCTGACATACATTTTGTTTCTGTTAATTTCCTTTAACATCTGGTCAAGATTGTTCTTGTAGACTCCTGACTTTGTGGTGGATGGAAGTATCTGCTACAAGAAGTTAAAAGTGACAGTGAAGAAGTAAATTAAAAAAAGAGCAAATTTGTCCATAACGATTTGTCCACAATTGATCCATAACGTTAGATATAACAAACTGAGCTTACATGTTTTGACTGGGAGCTGTGAAGGCCAGGTGTGCTTGGCTCTGAGAAGACGCCCTTTTCTGGTGTATCTGGAGGTTTGGTAACTTGCTCCATCATCTCCTGGAGGGAGACCAGCTGCTCTTCCTCACTGCTTTCAGAGCTCTGGGTTAGATCCATTTCGTATGCGATGCTTAGTCCCAGGTCAAGCTCCACATCATCAGGACAGTCTTCATTCATCTCACTTTTACTCTCCTCACCTGTGGGCCCCTCCAGTGGTAAAGACTGAGCACACCGAGAGGGATTTTTTTGTTCTGAGGCTGCTGTACCCATCTCTACAGATGATCTTACACCAGTAGAGTGTAACGGTGATTGTTTACGATGAGATTCAACACTCTCATTTTTAAACTGCCTTCCTGAAGAAGGGCTGGGAGTCCTTGGGGCTTTGAGTCCATTATTTTCAGAACAAAGCTGCAATTTTTCTGGTTCGACACGCTTTAAAGTCACCATCGGCAAAGAGACCAGAGGATCGTGTGCTGTAGATGACTCTGTATGCGTAGGTTCTGCTACTTTAAAGTGGGGAGTCATATGGCAAGATGATGCACTAACAGGTGGAATGCCATTAGTTGCAGGGCTGGTAACTTTCTCTGATGCTGGTGCATTAACAGTTGTCTCAGCTGTCTCAGCTGTCTTAGGCTTAGCAGTCTTACCCGAAGCGCTGACGACATAAACCAAGGGGTCGGGGGTAAAAAGCAGATCTATATCGTCAGGAACCACTGGTCTTCGTACACGGCTAGTTTTAGTGCGCTCTCCTGTGCGACCACTCGGTGAAGCCAAACTTGGTTTTGATTTCGGTGTGGAAGTGGTGCCGTCCACTTTTTTTTCTCCCATTTGATTAACTCTGCTCTGGGTCTTGACCGGTAAGGCAGTTGTGTGTCTACTATGAGAACGGCTGACTGAATCAACACAATGTGAGCCACTGTTGTCCAGCTGAGATACTTTAGAGGCATCCGATTCATCATTTTGATGGTTTTCCTCATTTCCCTTTGCCACACTTTCTTCACTGGGCCTTGATGATAAACTTAACTTCACTAAATTCTTTGTGGTGGTTATATAAACTTGCATTGCCCCCAATGATGGTGCCCGCATTAGACAACGTTTGGGTGGCGATGCGATGTGTGACTGAGTGGGTTTGAATGTGGATAACTCTGAGCTCGTCGACTGTCCACATGCCAGCTTAGAACGCAGATGGCTGTCTGTCGGGTTGGGTGGTAATTCCAAGACTGAAGAGTTTTTCAACGATGGCTGGGAGGCCAGTGCAACGCTTAATGACATGCAAGGAGTTGGACTGGTTGTATGAGTTCTGCCAGAGTTTGCATCCTGAAGACATGGTTTCTTGATATTCTCATGACAGTGGTCAAACTCTCTGCATCTCTTCTGAGAATTCAAATTCACTGCTGAAAACCAAGAGAGACATAAATATTTTAAACATATTCCGTTTCCACAAACTGTCTAGCAGTGTCAGTATAAAAAGTAAGTTGTTCAAACACAAACCTTTAATGAAAAAAAAAAAGAAAATTACTTTTAGAGATCATAAAGCAATGCTAAATTGATAAGAGAAAACCTTTATAATTTTACACGGACTATAACTAGATATATTTTTTAAGTATGTGATGCTGGTCTTGCTTAATTTGTGCAAGTTGGCATTACCAAAGGATCAGTGACACTGTCAAACCACTGAAACTACAAGTAAAACAACAAACTCTGAAGTACTACTGATGTGACAGTTAAACAAGAAAAAACAACTTAAAAATCATTTTGTTGTCGATTGACAAATTGCTTTGACGATATTACCTGGAATGGAGTTTTCACTTGAAGGTATCTGTTCACAGTGAAAGAACAAAAAAAAAAGTAATATGGTTAGTTTTACACAAACAGTGCTTTACGAAAAATTCAGATTTATAAATCAACACTGATGTTTCAAACAAATTTAAAATAATAAAAATCTGTCTGAAAATATTGGGATTGTATTATTATAATTCTAAAAAAGAATTTTGATGGCAATAGCTCTCAACCTCCAACAACACAGTAAAGACCAAAGTGTTTAATTTCAGACTCCACTGATACAGACCCAAAGATCTGATAGCATCCGTGAAAAGAAAATCTAATCCACAGAGACCTCATTACAAAATCCACAGGATTTGTGTGTATATGCCAGTAGAAAACAACCAGGAACATCCCGAGATTTTCTTAATTCACACTCAAATGATCAGATTTGTTATAGAGGCAAAAAGGTGATCTGCTCAATTTTAGAAGTGTGGTCCTAAAGTCCTTTCTGATAAGTGCATGTTGGGGACATTCTGGAGCAGGTACATTTCTCTGCCTACTAAAACTAGAATGAATGACAAGACAAAATTATTAATAAATCAAAATGGTTCAGGTCATGTATCCTGATGCATGCTCAATAATCCAGGTTGAAAAATCTAAAAAAAAAGTTAAGTCTGGTCATCTGGACAGGTTCAAATAACAGAAGAAACGTTTCGTCTTTCATCCGAAAGACTTCTTCAGCCTGAGGTGCTGTATTCAGCTCAGTCTTATAAATAGCACCTTCTCATAGTGGATCAACCAGTTTGTTGTTGACATTCAAAACAAGCTGTTCACATGATCAAGGAGGTCCATCAACCTAACAATGCATTGTTAGCACCCTGATGGCTGCTTGCTATTCACAGTGGTCTGAGTACATAGGGGAAACTAAACAGCCACTGGTCAAAAGGACGGCCCAGCTAGGCCTGCCATGATAACAAATTTTGCTTGGTGATTAATTGTCTCAAAAATTATTGCGATAAACGATAATATCATTTGAAATTTGACAATAATTAGTAATTACTGTCAAATTTAAGAAGAAATGTTGGTAATTTATTTTGAGTGCAGCACCTTTTTTTGAACACTGGATAGCAGTATAAGACCGTTTGAACCGAAGGATGGATAGTGAGGGAGCAAGCAACGTGTCTCTTTAAGAAAAATGGGAGGGAGACCCCTTGACATGACATGGGCTGTCTCTCCTCCCATTTTTTCAGTTCTCAAAATGGCGAATGCTCAGTGTGGTTTGAGCTCTTTAGCATAGCATTTTTCACACAAAGCTTTTAATAAAAAATTTTTCAAAAATCAGTAAACAAGTTCTCAGCTTCTTTTTGCAGAGAAAAACAACTTTTTACATGAAGGCACGGGTTTCAACCATGAATTTTGGAGCTTCAACAAGACGAGACGTTTTTTTCCCTGAGGACGGCCTGTTAGCTTCACTCGTAGCTTAGCTGCATTTAATGATCCAAAAACGCAATTTTCGACGATTAAAATAGATTTTAAAAGAAAAAAAGAGAATGGGAGGGGTCAGTGAAGAGCACTGAAGTTGAGCCTTTTGTCAACCAGTGTCTTCAGTAGAGAGAGACACAAAGAAAGGATAAAGCCGATAAATGAAAATGAGGTTGATAATTTTCATTTATCATGCGATTAATTGATTTATTGTTTATTGCGACAGGCCTAGGCCCAGCACAGAAGAGCAACATCATCAGACCCACAGACCCAAAGATCCCTGTGAACGGGATATTTGTACAAACTCTGGTAGCCCCTTTAGGGCTTCACAAAGCTCAAGGAAGTTCCCTGCTACTCAACAGCAGGCATGAAACTTCTTACTTGAGAGCATGGAACAAGGCAAAGCAAATGTTTAAACTCACAACAATTCAGCATGACTTGGCTGCTAGAGGTCAGACAGTTGACAAAGGACAAAATGACATTTCCACAACAGACAAAACAGAAAAAGTAATATACAATATATAGAAAAAAGGAAAATACCGTAAAATGTTCTTGTTTTTGTGCTTTATCATCATAATTTCCTGAGACAGAAGGTGTGACTTTAAAATCAGGCTCTTGGTCACTCCTAGAGTGGGTAGGTGTGGGGTGGCTGCTGAAATTCTTCACAAATTTAGTGGATGGAGAATAGGGTCTATCTGATGAAATATTATTGGTACCCGGGCTTGGTGGAACAAGCTGAGATGAGCAAAAATGTCCTAGCCCAGATGGCACACTGCCCAGCTGTGGACCTGATCTTTCCCTTGGCGTAGGCAGTGGCATATATGCTGAAGAGCAAATGTTAGCTGGTGTGTTTGAAACAGGCGCAGGAGGTTGAACTAGGCGTTTTGGGCCCAGGCTTCCTTTTGGTAAATGATTCATAGGGAAATCAATGTTAGTTGGGTTGTTTGGAACAAATCCTGATAAATTTACACTTCTTGCTAGATGAGAAAGCTGACATTGTGAGCTAAATCCACCGTTGTTGCATTGCTCTGGTGTCTGAAGTGGCAAAACTCTTCTGGGAGGAGGATGAGAAAGCAGGTTAGGGACTTGAGAGGGCCTCATTGGAGTTTCTTGGGGAAAAGTGAAACGTCGTAGGGAGTTCTGTTGAAGTTCAGGACCCATAACTAGAGGAAAAAAAAAAAAGTTAGCACTCTGAAGGGATAGCTCCATTATTTTATTTTATTTTTTAGCAAAAACACTACTTGTATTGAAATTTAACACTGGTGGCAAATATACAGTAGTATTTCTAGATTTACTTTTTTTTTGTAGTAATAAACTTTTGGTTAGATCCTAAACACAATTATGTAAAAAAGTTGTGCCAACTTTTCCATATATCTCGTTAATATCATTATCCTAAACGTTTACGTATGTTTTGTAATATTAAACAGTAAATGTTTCGTGTATTAAATGTACAACTGAATATTCGAGTAAAGGACCAATAATATTTGCATACATCAAAAAACAGTCTGTCTTGTATGATAAAAAATGTGAACATGTCAGTGACACAGAGAGCCCACAAAGTCAAATAAAGTGTATAAATGATCTATTTTATAAAATACCAGTAGTTTTGTTTATGGAAAATTGTTTAAAGTGGATGGAAAATGTTGGCATGTTTTTTGTTTGTATTTGAAAATTAATGAAATTGTTCAATTCTTTTACAAAATAAAAATAAAAAAACTGGCCATTACCTCATTTTAACGCACTCAGTGAAAAGTAAACATGTTTAAAGTCTATGCAAGCAGAATATTATCAAATCATTTTTTTTGTCTTACCTTTGTTACTCCTCGGACAGAAGTAATCTTCAAGCGTTCTGGGAGGAAATTCAGAGGAAAGTAAGTCAATGTTTTAGACAAACAGGTTTTGTTTGCTCTCCAACTTTAAATTGATACTAAAAAATAATAAGATGTGGGCTCGCATATCAAACTGAACACTAACTTCACACCCAGGAAAAGGGAGACATACACCAGCTCAGTACCTTTTCATAATACAGTACTGTTCTACTAAACACAGAAAGCTAACTGATGATGACACGACTCCAGCAGCAGTAGTAAATATTTGAGATACAATGTTATGGAGTTACCACACGTGGTTTTGTCCTTACACAATAGTAACACCAGTTAAACCTTTGAAATCTAAGACAGTTAATTTACTTTTCAAACATAAACAAACGCACAACCACAAACAAAGCTAGCCAGTCCACTAGCTAGCTAAGGTTAGCTAGGAAGGAGGTAAACAGACGTGTTTGTATGAATTAAACAACACGACAGTAGCATTACTTGGCTTTAATTAATCATATTCATTAAATTACCAAACATTAATTGTAAGAACCTAAAATACATACTTCTAAATGGCTCATGGCATGTACTCTTAAGACGGGTAGATCACTACAATAAAATGACCAGTCGCTGTATCAGGAAGTGATGTTTCGCTAGGCGGTTAGCAATGAGATAAAAACAAAGCTCTAGGTTTTCTTACCCTGCATTTCCTTGGTTTTCGGAGGCTTTATTCATTTTCAATATTGTGAAATTTAGTCATGACAACAAGAACGGAATAACGTGAAGCCAGTTCGATTTTACACTAATTTCCTCGGAACTTCTCCCGCTCGCACGAGCACCGCTGTTGTTTCACAATGCATTATGGAACTTGAAGTCAAAACCAAGAATGTAGGCAACGAAATAAAACATATCTTAGCTCATTACATCATACTCTTGCCACCTGCTTTCACAACCTGAATAACATTGTTTAAGTTTTTTTTAAGCATTTTTGGACTAACGACACTGTTTACAACATGCTTAAGGTATTAATGAGTTGCTTCAATAGTACAGTGGGGTAGCACCTAGGAAGATGGCGGCGACTAATCTCGTCTTGTGTCTCCCGTGCCCAGTTGTGCCTTTAGGTACCTGGTGATATGCAGTATATTGTATATATTTAGTCACTAAAGTTAAGTACACATGGATCACTTTATTTTATAAAATATATTTTGAATAATTACTCGTAAGAAACTCAAAACATGCCAATAGTTAAGAATACGCCAAAATAAATTTGAGTCAAACCAAGACGTGGTAAAAAAAAATAAATAAATAAATAAAACAAATTATATATATATTTTTTTTATTTATTTATATTTATATATATATATATATATATATATATATATATATATATATATATATAATTTTTATATATAAATAATAGCAATACCAATAATTTAATTACAAGAGAATGAAGACAAATATGCACATCAAATATTATAATTGAAGATAAGCAGACATAATATTGTCCCATAATTTTACATTTATTAGATCAGAGCTTTCATGGTACATTTGCCCAATGCAGACAAAACAAATGCAAACTATAAAGAGAAGCACCAACACTGTAAGACATGATGGGATTTTTAGCAGGAAAAACAATAGACATCGATGGGCCAAATATAGTAAAAACAAACACAACAAAGGTTCTTTTTTGAGAACTTTTCTGATTTTGTAAACACTGAAACTTTTTAATTTGAATAAAATGCTTGCTTATGTATATGGTGCAAAACTGAGCAAAGCAATAGTATAGTATGTTTAAAATGACATACTAAATATCAGACAACACCATGACAACATTCAGAAAGACTGAACATAGAGAAGACAAACAGACGAGAACTATTTAACCGTTCAACCTAAACCCCCCGCTCAAGAGACTGCATGCCTTGAAAACTTTGCTAGCAACATCCTCATAAACGCCAATGAGTACATTTTCTTTTTAAATTTAGTTTATAACACACTATCACAGAACACAACCATGATCCATAAAAAAAGTGGTTTATGGCACAACCCCATCACCTTCAGTGCACAAAACATTGTCTGCCTTGAAGCACACATTTACTACAAGAGGCATCTTCTCTCTTGATGTGAAGTGCATTCCCAACCTTAGCACAAAACTCAAACTGTAGCTTGAAGGTTTCAAAATGATGATGATGATATAAGGGCCACAGGAAAGCATTTAGTCTTTTCATTTAACATTTAATAAATTAATTTTATGACACCACAGCTAAAGACTGACATTTATCAGCAGTACTATTCATTTCAGTCCAGAGCTTCTCATTTGTTATAATATACCATTTTCCCTAAATTATACACAAACTCTTGAGTTATAGCTTCAATGGCTCCGATATATCACAGCCCATCAATCTACCATTCCCATACACAGCAAGGAGAGGATGTCTGCTTTAGAGCATATTGAATATACTACAATATAAGTTATGGTTTGGAAAATACACTAATCTGAGGCCTGCTGTTAGGGACAAGTTATAACATTGCACACAGAGTAGGCCATTTGGATTTTGCCTGTGCTTTTACTTCTTGGCTTTTCCCTGAGCAGCAACAGCCTCCATGGCTTTGCGTACAGTCTCCTCATCTCCCAGGAACTGCATCGGCTTCACTGGCTTCAGGTTCTTGTCGAGCTCGTAGAGGATCGGAATGCCTGTTGGCAGGTTCAGTTCCATGATTGCTTCATCTGACATTCCTACAGGTGGAAACAGACAGGGGAAAAAAACATTAACAAAATCGTCTGCAACGTGGATGTTGCAGAATTATTATTCAGAAGTAGCAGGTAAGGCCTTTTAAACGAACGGTGTTAATTACTCATTATCACCCACCCTCCAGGTGCTTGACAATTCCCCTCAAACTGTTTCCATGGGCAGCGATGAGCACCCTCTTTCCCTGTTTGATCTGAGGGGCGATCTCCTCGTTCCAGAAAGGTAGCGCACGTGCAATGGTGTCCTTAAGACTCTCGCAGGACGGCAGCTGCTCCTCAGTCAGGTCTGCGTAGCGGCGATCCTGCAAAGACAGCATCAGTGTTAAGAAAAAAAGCAAAGACATCACATTTTAGACTGGATAATCTGCCAACATCTGGACAAAAATAAGTATGTTGATGGTACATAAATTAGCTAACATAGCTAACAAAATCTGATGAGTTATTGTTGAGCTTTGTTTCAAGAGGAACTATGTCAAACATCATGCTGATATATTAATAACAAGGAGAAATTAAATAGTGGAAGCAAAACTCAGGTTGGAACGCAAAACGTTTATCAAAACTGCAAAACACGAAACATATCTGAATTTTGCAGATCCAGCTTTAACCAAAGTGGTTCAGGGGGAGTGGTGGCACAGAGGTTAGAGAAGATTGGTCTGTGATCGGAAAGCCGCAGGTTCAACTCCCAGTACCGTCAACATCAAAATGTGGGTGGAAAATATGAAAGTCCCACACCTGCTTCCATTTTCATTTGCCTCAATCTGGGCCCCTGAGCAAGGCCCTTAACCCCAACCATCTGCTCCAAATACAAGTCTCTTTGAAATTGAGTTCTCGTGACTCAATGAGACTACCTGTATAAATAAAGTGTAAATGGAAAAAAAAAAAAAAAGCACAATACAACTGAAAGATTTGTGCATTTCAAACCATCAACACAAACGTTAGAAAAATAATGCATCACTTCCTATTCCCATTGTGTTTTCTTAAAAGCACTATGTTGTAACTTTTGTAAAATTAAAGATACCAACAAGTGGAAACAAACGAACAAAGCCATTCCATCAAATGGATCCAAAGAGGATCCATGTGAGTGAAATAAGGTGTTCCTAGGATGCAGACCAAGACGGTGAAATAAGAAGTGACTCCCAAGCAAACAAGAATTATAGAGAACTGTATCAATGTGTGTGTTAAACTTTCAAAAAAGTCTTGCTCATGCTGTAAAATGATCTTCTCTCCTTACAAGTATATTGCAACTTTGTTCAAATCCTAGACTCCTGAATGATTATTATGAGTGATAGTTTTCTATGAACAAAGATGGACAAAGTGACTCCATTAACTCTCATTGTTTAAAACTGGAGTCTAAAAATTTTAAGATTTTTAGAAGCTGCCATGTTGTATTTCTGGAGCCAAATATTACGCACTAGATATGTGGGGCTGTTCCATCCATCCATTATCTTTGACTTGCTTCTTTCTTGTCATGCACCCACCCTCATAAATTACTAACAGGCTGTCACCATGTCAATCACAGTGACCCGTGACACTTTTATGAAATCTTTAAATAACTAAACATATAGAAAAGAACAAGCTGCAGCAAGATAAAAGCTACATGAATCAACAATAAAATAAAATAAACACATGAAAAAATTAAATGAAATATATATTTTTTGTTGTTCTTACTCAAGAAAATGTCCCATTTGATTAGATGGGGAGCCGGAACTTAAAAACTGTACTGTACTGCGACCAGCCACTAGGGGGTGCTATTCATTTGTGACTCATCTTCTGGCTTCTGGTCCTGTCTCTAATAATAAATACCTTGTTGTTTCAAACATGTAACGACTTATAATAGCTTGTATGAATTGTTAAATTATGTCTAAAGACTACTGTTTCAGAGTGATGGCACCATCTTCATGAATTCTATTGCACAGTTCACCGTCACATCTTAAACAATAGCAATAAATATCTGGACTGAGCCCTTCAACCATCAGTTGGTAACATAACGAAGCGTCTTTGGTGTTTTTTGGAAAAGGAAGTAAAAAAAACTGTGTCCTCTTTCTATAATCTGAAAATATCATTTTTGTTTAGTGAAATTAAATATATAGCCACTTTCCAAAAATAATGACTTTTGCATTCAACCTTTATTTATACAGGTTAATCCTTGATTTGATTTATTGAACTAGCAATTGTTACCAAAAAAAAGACAATTTAGATGTGTTTTTTTAATGCAACATTTGATTATTCTGCCTAACAAGCATATTAGATTATTGAAATGCTTGGCATCTTGTTTCCAAAAAAAAAAACAACCAGAGAGAGTACCTAAATATAAAGCCTGCCCTAATACATTAAAACAACTGCCCAGTGCCCACATCTGTCAAGACGTTATCAGTTTGCTTCCACTTTAACTAAACTTTGAACTTGAACCCCAAATTCAACCTTCCTAGTTACAAATTAACTCTACAAGCTATTAGGCAATAACTTTTGCAACGCTGCTAGCAAATAGTGAGTTAGCACACCACCACGACTGGAAGGTTTCATTTGATGTTGCATAAATAAGTGAAAAGTTTTGACATTCAGGTGGATTTTGCAGCAGACAAAAGATCATAATCCATGACTTTAAACCCACTACTGTCACTGCTGATTTCACTCATGCCTTTTTTTTTGTTGCTAGTTGGTCAATATGTGCATAACCTCTCTTTTCCCTTACATGTCAACACAGCTCATTGTCTGTGTGTTTGCACTGAAGATATCATATCTCACCTTGCTGATGATACTATAGTAGTCATGTTCTGGGCCCATAGAAGGAGGGGGGATGTCAAACGAGCGCCTCCAGATCTTGACTTGAGCCTCTCCATGTTTGGCAGCCGTCTCGGCCTTGTTCAGCCCCGTCAAGCCTCCATAGTGGCGCTCGTTGAGCCGCCAGGTCCGATGCACCGGCACCCACATCTGGTCGATGCTGTCCAAGACGAGCCACAGTGTCCTGATGGCCCGCTTCAGCACAGAGGTGTAGCAAATATCAAACTCGAACCCAGCATCTGTGACGTTTCAGACAGCTCTTTTATTTTTCAAACCTTAGAAATAACAATGGGAGCTGCAGTTTTCTCACGACACATTTAACAGCACGTCTCTTGTGCAGATAATGTTATAAATAGCTTAATACAAAAGTTGTTACAATATCTGTATCTAATTCTACATGATCAAACAAAATTTTAAATATTTTTTATTTTATTTTATACCTAAAAAGCGCTTACTTTTATAATCCTCATAGAAAAACTTGATTGTTGCAGAAGAAAAAATATTATCAGATGGTTAAAAAAAAAACCATACATAATAGACAATAAATAAAAATGTTGTATTAGAAGTTTCATAAAACGAGTCCCAAGCCCAACATGTGGCAACCTTTAGCTTTACAAAGGTGTGTTTTCACTATTGATCAATACGACAGTTTATTTTGATTATTAATTAATTAATTAAGGTTGGTGTAAGCTGTTTTAAGAGTCATATATGATGTTTTCAACTGGAAAATGTAGTTCAAAAGCTTTAGATATGTTATTAGTCAACATAAAACAGAAAAAAAGGCTGATTTTTTTTATTTTTAAAGAGCCTTTTGTAAAACAGTTGCTTTTCTTTCTGCTGATTGTGTGGTTAACCATCCTGGTTTTCCCAGTCTATTTTTTGGTCTAATTATCCTCAATATCTTTAAATTTTTGCTTGCAGTTCTAAAATTATAATGAAAGTAAGAAACAAATGGGGATGTCAATATAACTCAGCTGTGTTGTAGCATACACAATAAACCACGTGTGCATATTGATTTAAACATTGCCTCTTGCTGTTTTGTGACAGTGATGTCTGCAGCACTGCAGCCACAGTGAAGCGCCATGTCTGCCCTTTGAATCACTCAGGTTCGGGTCCAGTTCATGACAAACTGCGTTGCAGCTGCCCTGACATCATATTAAACCGGATATTATGACAGAGGAAAACCAAACACAGTAAGTTTCCCACCTTTCAGGGCCTGTCCTCCTCTCTTCGCCTCCTTCTCTCCGGTTTCGCTCAGGTCTGCATCGAACCAGCCGCAGAAGCGATTCTCCTGGTTCCAGTTGCTCTCTCCGTGGCGAATCAGCACGATTTTGTAGACGGCCATCTTTGTCGTTAACCTGTTTCTGTAAATATATTAAAATTAATGAAAATCACTTCAATAAACTGATCTTTAACAGTGGATGCTGGGGCTGCTGGACCGGGAACTAGCTGTGGAAGGAAGCAGACAGGTCAAACGTAAGATGTCAAACCTTTTTATTCTGCGGATTGGCTAGATTTTTACTTCCGGGTTTTATCAACCAATGAGATTCAACCTATTCTTTCTGCCAACCAATGGAAAAATGGCAGATGTGGGCGTCATCAGCTTCGTGACCTTCATTTAGTGTACATCATTGTACTTTATTGAAATTTCTATCTATGGAGGAAAAAAGACAAAAATATTTCATTATTATTATGTATTATATAAACATGTATATTTATATATTTTTGTTTACATGGCTAGGAAAAAAAAGCAGCTAAAGATAGATGTGTGCCATAACTTCAGTAGATAGGGGATAAATTGATTAAATTGATAATTTTATTCATTTTTTAATAAAAAAAAGAAGAAAGAAACACATGCATATGTTGGAGGTAATAAGTAGTGTACATACCTGTAGTTTTCACACTTTTGAATGAAATCAGTCATTTTTGAACTGCTACTTGTCACATCACACCAATTTGTTAAAATCTCTCCTGACAACTCCTTTAGGAAACTAATACATTTAGTTGAGTTAGTTTAGGTTAAGTTGAAGTTGGGGTTTTTAATAATATTTAAGGATTTTTTTATTGTCATATCAGCTCATGTTTATGGTATGCAATTCAGACTCAGGTCTCTATCTATCTATCTATCTATCTATCTATCTATCTATCTATCTATCTATCTATCTATCTATCTATCTATCTATCTATCTATCTATCTATCTATCTATCTATCTATCTATCTATCTATCTATCTATCTATCTATCTATCTATCTATCTATCTATCTATCTATCTATCTATCTATCTATCTATCTATCTATCTATC